TAATGTAAGGGTTTCAGCCAATTTACCAAAGCGAATCTATCTGAGTCCGTAAATTAAGAGGGATGTGAATTTCTTACTTTTGGACCTTTACTAATCACCTCAAAGTCACCAGCAATTAATTAAGCAAAACTGAATCCCGAACATGCAAGGGTAAAATTGTCCAAAATTTATAGTAGCACCCAAAACAGAAAACAAGGGTCTGTCTCATCGTCTGGAGAAAACTGCCTGAAGACACTGTCGTCCGAGGAGCCTCCACTAGCCGCATGAGCCTATACCGGAGCTCCACGTGTTGGCCGCCACGCATCACGGGTTCGACCATGCGCCACCCACTCCGGTGCGCCTTGACCTGCTGAACACACTGGTGGCCTTGGTTTGTCCAAAAGGTAAGTGGTTTCACCGAAAATTAACCAAACAGATCCAGCAGAAAATTGAAAAATCTGGACAGATCCGTTTCTGATTTTATGGCAATTCTCAGACCAATTTTCAATCAGTTTCAGGCCAGAAATTCCACCACAACCTCGCTCTGATACCAAATGTTTAAGAAACGACCTTCAATGGTGGATTTTTCGGGCTCAAATCAAATTTACCAATCTATATATCAACCAATCAACCAACTCTCCAACCCACAACCTGAATCCACTTATGGTTGCATTTCCCTTTTCTCACTCCAAAGGAACAATGATATGATGGTGTTTGTAAGCCACAAAGGCCAAGAAAAGATAAGAAGATGCAAGAACTTGAAGAAGATTGCAAGAGGTAGCCACACAGAGGGCAAAACACATGGCTCTTGCAAGAGGAAGGAGGTATATATAGTTTTAGATATATTACCAATTGGGCCAAGACACAAAGTAATGTGCCAAGATACAAGGATGCCTTCCTATAAGTGGATTTGGACCAAGGCAACATTAAACTCAATTAAGCTGTAACTAATAGCCCACGTTGTTTTCGGGTCGAGTATATAAGTTGATTGGTTGATAAATATTTCACTCAACGGCCTTGCCTATGAAATATAATCCGACACTGTTTAATATCATTGCCTATGGAAATGATTTAGCAACGATCAACAGTACACAATATAAGTATAAAAGTAATATCAACTGGGATTCATTATTAGAAAAGGAAATGTGAATCTTATTTTATTTAATTTTCCTTCTTCGTAAGAGCATCCAAAAAAAATAATAATAATAATAGTAATATATAATAGCAAATTTCAAGGCGAAAATCCACATTGTTGGCATAAGACTGCATTACCAGGCGAATCACATGTGCTTAATCATTGACAGCAATATAGTTACTACTAACAATAAAAATTAATGAAGTTGACATATAACATAATTGATGAATTTGTCGGTCTAGATAAATCAGCTTTATTAGCTTCTGAAGTTGCTTTTTCATTCTTCAAATTCAAATATTGTATTTTTCATTTTTACTTGAATCTAGGCCTAGGCATGTGAATGATTTCAGAGATTGACCAATTTGATTCCTATATTTCTAAAAAAATTTAACACTTGTTTCGTACTTATTAGAATAAAGATTTTAATTTAGACCAAAGTTAACAATTAATTTTAACTACATATGTGATCCACAACTTGCAACCACATATTTTATCAATTTTTATCCCAAAATTAAAAAACAACTTGAACTTTTTGAAATTTGGGACCCAATAGCAATAATTTATTAAGGTCGATGACCAACACTACAATTTCCCTTATTTTTATTGCTTCCATGCCGATAACCATACCCATTGTTTCCTTCTAGCAACAATAAACCTTAAGGAGAACAATTGGCCCAACAATTTTAAAATCTAACTCTTATTTTTATTTATATATAATTTAAATCGATTATAAATAATTTATAAATATGGTTTACGTAATACCTTCCAATGCTCCCACTTTAATCCTCAATCGAGTCAATCCTTCAACCGCCCAACACATATCGATAATATGATGCCACCTTCACAAATTCCTATACGCGTACGGCTCTCAACTTCCTAAACCCTAATTAGCAAAATTAGTAATTTCACAATCTTGCAAAAATCACATATTATCTCCTCCCGTTTATATCCTCTGTCACCAAAACCTTTATGTTCCAAACCCACTCACCATATGAAGAAAGATACCAACCTTCAGTATATTTCTTAAAATATACAAATTCTCTCCAAAATAAGAATAGACATTTTTCATACAAAGCAATACACAATTTTTTGAAGTAACAATTTTCAAAAATTACTAAATTTCGTGCCGTAACTATAATATAGACCCATAGTGGTCTTCAAGTCTCATCGCAGTTTATTTATGAAAATTTACGTGTTAAAAGTTAAAAAAAAATAAAATAAAATAAAAATTATGCTCTATTAATAGAATATTTAGATAAAAACTGTCACCAGAGATAGGATATGCTATTAATGAATAGTTGGGATACGAATACTTTGAAAAAAGTTGGAGACAAAAGTATAACAACAATAAAGGGAGGAGACATTTAATATAATTAAAATATTGTGCACTTGTAAAAAGTATAAACAACTTGATATTTAATATATTATAGATAAATGATGATCATATATGATGATATGTTTAATTCTATTCGAGAGAAATTGAAAAATATAATAGGAACATTAATGAACAAGTATAAACAAGTGTCATTAATGTTGGGAATTGTATTAAAATGTATTAATAATGGGAGGCTCGAAATCTTACTACATATTTTTAATCAATTTTACAAGCGTGCCGTAGTTTCTAATTAGATTAATTTAGATAATTAGTTTCAAGGAAAAAAAAAATCACAACATGGCTATACAATTAGAATTAGTATTAGATAGAAATAGAGTAGGTACATATTATTTTATTCACTACTCTATCACTTATCTATGATATCGTGCACTTTTGAGATTCTGCCAATCAACTTGTAAAAGAAAGACTTCCATGGGATTGAGTATTATTGTACAGTAGGTAAAGAAAATTGAATAATAATAAAAAATATTATAGAAGAAAAAAAAATGTTGAAATTTTATACCTTACTCTACACTGACTACAATATAGAAAGTGTGGGCTGACAAGCCCTTCAGGGCATAGTCCAGTGGTGCAAAAGATAGGAGTGAGGTTATCTCACGCATTGCTGACAGCCGCAGTGTGGGGGTTCGATTCCTGAAACATGGAATTGGACCTTATAAGTGCAGTGTACAATCAACTTTTATTCCCTAGCCTGTTGGGGCACATCCTGAGATTTACCTCCCTCACAAATATCTAGAGACGGTGCGGTGGGGGCCCTCAAGATTGGGGTTCAATCCTTTTTTTTTTTCTTTTTCCAGAAAGTGTGGACTGACATTAGAAGATAAGTTGCTGGTGTAAGTACGTACGTTTGGCTCATAAATTACACTGTGTTATCTTACTTATTTCATTAATTCTGTGGTGTAGGTTAGCATTTAAGAGCGTGTGTATCCATGTATGTTTTACATATATTAGCTCTTGTTCATGTAATTTTGTGATGTTAGGCTAATTTTATTGTCTTAGATGAACCTTGAATTATAATATTTTAAAATTAATTTTTACTACTTTTGCGTTATATGCTTGTTTATTTTAAAATTAATTTTTAACTCCATTCGAGGGAAATTGTTAAACAATATAGGAACATTAATGAACGAGTATGAACAATCGTTATTAATGTTGTGAATTGTACTAAAATGAATTAATAACGGGGGATTCAAAGTATTAATGCATATTTTTAATGGGTTTCACAAATGCTTTCTTAGTTACTAATTAGATTAATTTAGATAATTAGTATCAAAAACAAAACAAAAAAAGGTCATAATTTCTTATTTGATTAGAGTTAGCATCAATTAGAACTATATAAAGTACAATCTCTGTGGGATAATAATTTATTAACTACTATATTACTTATCCACAATATCGTTCACCTTTAGAATTTCGTGAATCAACTTGTCGAAGAAAGGCTTGCATGGGATTTAGTATTATTGTAATATTTCTTCAATATATTTGGTTAAGAAAATTTTAAATAATCAACAATATTATAGTAAATGTTAAAGTTTTATTCATTCAACTATAGTGCTACATTGTAGAACGTGTGAGTCGATATTAGAAGACAAGTTACTGATGTAAATAAATACGTCTGTCTTGTAAATTATACAATGTGTTATTTGACTTATTTCCGTAGTTCTTAGGTTTAGATTAGCATTTAAGAGCGTAATTATATATATGGATAATTCATTGGGAAATGGAAACGATACATGTTCATATAATACAGGTGTGTTTGACCAGAAAAATATTAAAAGATGATTATTTATGTGTAACTAAGGCATACATTATAGAGATAATCCTAACCAAAATGGATAATTTGGTACGTGTAACCAAGGTATATTAACAGTGGATATATTCATCTACTTTCAATGACTTTTTCTTGTTATATAATTTGAGTTTGAATCCAATTTTCAATTTCCTATCTGCCCCGAATTGAATTTATGCGTCTTTATGCATTATGAAGTGAATTTTATTCCAATTTTTGTGTCTGTCTGTACAAGTATTGCTTTGTCTCATATACTTATTTTTTGGTTTATGTTGTGGGTATGTATTTTTCGAAAACTGGCCTTGAACATTTAATTTACAGTAACCAACTAATTTTAGGTCAACAAGGCTGCCACCAGAATTTTAGATTGTCAACTAGCCAACTCCAACTACCGTCCATGTATGATCCATACTAGATCTGACCAACTGCCCAAATCCTGTTGTGCAAAAATGGGATATGCACTCAACAAATAATGAAGAATTTCAAGAATGTTGCGAGGAAGAAAACAATGTGGAAGGGAACAATAAGTATACTAAGACGCTGGAGGAGATGAAGAATTTCAAGAATGCTGGTGACCCTTTCATCGAAGAATTTTTCCTAATTTTTCAATCTGTTTACAATGTGATGAATAATATGATGACTGATTTAGTATTCATTTGTTATTGCATAAATAAACTTCTATTATGGAATGAGTTATATAGTGAAAGTAAATTGTGGAATAACAATATAATTTTTAAAATAAAAAATAGGTACAAAACGACAACATTCAAATAAATTTAATTGAAGAGTAACGGCTACTTGCAAATGCTAAAACAAGTAACGAAACGAGCAATGCACACAGCTAAAACATAAAAGGATGCAACGTGCAGCCTATGGCAACAAATTCTTGCCATTGTAAAATGCCATTTTTTCTTCTAACGTGGATTGCCCTTGGGACCAATTTTGAGCTGTACTAATCCACTTCACCTCAGGCTGCCTATAGAGTGACTTGCCTACAACTGTAAGGGCTAGTGGAGATCCTGAGCAACCTCTGACCACCTGCCATGAGATTCAAAGAGCAACATCAGTTAAGTTTTAAAGTAGATATAGTAAATAAATTTCTAAAAAATCCGTTGAAAATTATTTACATCTCCGTTCAAAAATTTTTTACATCTCAACCTAATAAAATTTTTTACATCTCAACCTAATAAAATGAGTTCTGAAATGAAAATTTGTCACTCTAGGTGTAGTTTAATGTTTCTGCTAGAGTAAAATGCTATGAAAATATGATGAAAAATTGAGCTACATACAGAAAAATGAACTATCTTCAATATTGATGTTTCTGGTAGAATGCTCTGGAGACGCATTTTGGCAGAGATAATGCTTTTACCTCTTCTACAAGACGTTTTTGCACAGTGCAGATCCCATCTTTAAAGGCATAATGTTGAAATAGAGTCATTGCATCTTGATGATTCAGCATATTCAATTGATAAGTCCATTCAAATTGTGGAAACTCAAATCTCGATGTAACCAAGATTTTATATCCACGTATTGGAAGAAGGAATTCATCAATGAGTGACTCAGATCCTGACCACATATCGTCTAGGACTAATAGTATAGGAGCTGGTCCTATGTGCTGTTGGAAAAACTGTTCTAATTGGTATATTGCATCTTCATCGCTTTGAAAGACAGGCGCCTTCTGGTTTTTGTTACTCTGAATTACTTTTTGAACCATTAGCTGGAGGTTAGCTGATTTTGAGACTGTCTGAAAGAAGATATTATTCCCATATATACCTATGCAAAACGTTAGATAATCAAGAATTACATGAGCATAAAGGAAAGTATTGCCAAAGTTCAAGGGATAAGATTCTGTCGGCAAAAATTCATGTATATCTTCACAATTGGTGCATTATTCAAGGTATCCCAAAACAAAGAACAAGTATAGACTACTCTAAAGACAGAAATTTTTTGACTCCTGCTGCAAACATAAGACTAAATCGTTTTGGGTTCTTGCTCAAACAATCTTCTTGTGATTTCCTGTTCTTATAAAGCTTAAAGAACACTTCACAAGAAACACCAACCTCTGAATAAACCACTCTTTTTCATTAAGCAGATTGCAAGTATTTGGAAAAATACCAATTAGAAAAAGAAAAAGCAACAAAAGTCAAGAATCTTTAATATTAAACTCACTGGTTACCTCTAATTTCATCATCATTACAGAGCAATTTCGCCAGTGTAGTCTTGCCGTAGCCATCAGGAGCCGAAAGCACAACAATTGGCACCTCATCATTTAGAAGCATCGCCTTCAGTTCCTGAAGTTGCATGTCTAATCCAACCACAAAATCCGGAACTCCCGGAACACCACACCAACCTGAAAACCCATTGTTTTGTTAATCAAACCAAAACGTAAGGGAAGTTTTTTTATTCATATTTACAAACTAATTACAATCTTATCTAGGATGGGAGAGTAGTACCTGAAAACCCACTATCATTATTTTGAATAGAAATTACTTTATCCATTTTCTCCTGAAGAACATTTACTCCAACAGAAATATTTTTGCCATCTCTGGCCAACTCAGCCTGTACATTTATCTGAAAATACCACAACAACGAGCTTTCAAATTCTTTCAGTTTCTTCGCGTACAAATACTTCTGGATTGGATTCCACCGCTTGATTTTCAAGCACTCCCGAACGAGCTCTTCGCCTTGTTCAAACCGATTATTGAGCGTCTCTGCTCCTTCTTGTCGGTAGTTTAGCACTCTGTTCAGCTTCTCTATGTCCTCGACAAATGGCTTGATTGAAGTCAGAGTTTCTTTTAAGTGGTTGAGTTCAGACCTGAAACTGGCTACTGTCAAGGCTACGTCTGAAACAGCTTTCATTAGAAGATCAAAAGCTGCCCCTCCGAGCAATTCCGCCATTTGTGCTTAGAAGGAATCCCTATTGAAATTTGTTATGGGAATTGAAAGGAAGCAAATGCAGATCAAAGAGAAATTGTAATCAAGATGAGAGAATATACTTGAAACCTGTAGCAGTTCATATATTCTTCATTTTATGGCATGTTTGCCTAAGTTTAAAAGTGGATCAAAATTAGTTATATCTTTTAAGCTTGGTTAAAAATGCTTAGTACACTACCTACCTATTCAAATGTCATTAATACTATATGACATTTAGTGCAGTTGATTGTTTAATAACTCAATAAACCGACTCATAGTTAAGTCCTTATTAGTTCGGTAGAGATTATTTAAAATTCATTTTCTCTAAACTTATTTTCTAATATACATTTTTTTCAATAAAATAAATTTACGTATATATTCATAATTTTTTCCTACCTTTTAACTGAACATTCTCCCAAAAATCACTTTTCACAAATATATTATGAGAATCTACCTGCGCTAAATGTAGTTTTTTTAGTTATACGGACTTAATGTTGAAAATTTAAGTAACTCTTATAGTTTCTTGTAAGTGACCATAGTTATGTCGATGTTACAAAGTTAAATTTTCCCAACGAAGTTGTTCAGAACCCAACAGCTTACCATACTCTTCAAACATTTTGACATTTGAAAATAAAAGAACGGGAATATTTTTCTGCTATCATGGTGCTACATGGCATAGATGACTTGTACGACTAGCATTTACAAGTTAGATGAATTATCTCTATTCTATTTTACCCCCTAACATAATCCGTACGTAATACATGAATTTCCAATTATCTTAAGTGTACACATACAGAATGAATAAATGCACTATTTGTTGGAAACAAGGGGGTTTGGATAAGAGACAAAAAGAATGACAAAAAATTACAGCAACAAGATGAAAAATCCAAAAAATTGTTAAGAATAAATTTGAAGGCTCGAATGTGGATTCACTGTTCTCAAACGATATTTGCCCTCTTTCGGGATTGAATGAGATGCTTAAGGGTTTTGGTAAATGTTTTGTAGGATTATGTCAAGCATTGTAAAGGATTTAATACCAAAGCACAAGTATAATCCTCCAAAACTTAAAGAATACTAAGGAAGATAATTAATATGAATATAAATCAATAATTTGATTTAATATGAAATGATATATGAATCTCAAGATATTTTTCAATGTTTCTAATGTGTTTGTATTGATCATTCATCACCTATTTATAAGCATCAATCAATACACCACGAAATGATGTCAAAACATGATGAAAAGTGATAACTTTTAATCGAAAACGGGTGAACAATTTAATTAAATGCATGGGTGGTTATGAAACTTAAATATACGAAATTTGTATGGTATGATACTACGCAGAAATACTAGATTTAAAAGCATAAATTGTTTAAGAAACTGCCCATAAATTATTGAAATATTGTCAAACAGTATCTTTGTACATTATTAGACTGTTATTGATCATACAGTATATGACACATTTTGAGTTGGCATTTTATCGATTCTTGCTAATGAATTGTTATTGGTTCTGATGTGGTCGCAAAAGGAATAGGAGAATCGAGGAGCACTTGGTCTCCTAATGTGAGATTTTTCACATACAACATTCGAGTGAGCTTATAGTCCATGGACCCACAGAAAGAGTCAAGTGCCGCCCTCTTGGCTACATTTCCCTCTGGACTTCATTTCCCACTCCAGTCTTTTGTGCGAGAGATACTTAATGATTTTGGGATCGAGCTGAACCAATTTAATCGAAATGGTTGCATCCTTGGAGCCTTCATCACATGGAAGTTATCGGGGAATATGGGGGGCATCCATGAAGATATTAAAATAATAATAATAATAATAATAATAATAATAATAATAATTTCAGTGCTGGTCATCAACCTTAATAAACTATTTATATTTGGTCCCCAAATTTTCAAGAAGTTTAAGTCGGTTCTAAACATTTTAAAACTTGCAAAATAGTTTCTGAAAAGTAATTTTTCAGATAAACTAAGAAATATTATTCTCATAATATAATTATTTGAATGTGCAAAAAATATAATTCCGCAAAACCATGAGGAGAAAAGTATAAATCGTTCAAGTGTTACTTAATAGAAATTTTTTCTCTTTAATGTTTCTTGTTACTGGTAAGGAACATTGGGGACAAAAAAGGGGGAAAAAATGAAGAAAGGCAATCATCTTAGAAGATAAAAAATAAGAAAATTGTTATGTTGGTTCTCCAACTTAATAAACTACTACTACTCGCTCTAGGGGCGTAAGCGGTCCGATTTTACCGGTTTTTGACAAATTTTCAAACCAAACCGTTTAATCCGATTTGAAAAAAATTCAAACATAAACCAAACCATTTTGAACGGTTTGAAAAAAACTCAAACCTAAACCTAACGGTTTGTTCCAGTTTTAAACCGTCGGTTTCATCTTATATTTTTTTGTCTGCCTACTTTTATGACATTAATTCACCGAATTTAATATATGTTTATATTTACTAGCAATAAATCTAAAGCAATCTAAACCCTTGTTTGAACCAAATTTTTGAGACAAAAAAATGAAATTTTGGACCATTATCCCATAAGTCTAACCGCATTTGTTGACCTATTGTTTCATACGTGGGATCTAGCCTCCTCTCCAATGGCCAATTTTTCATTGTGATAACATGGAAAATATGGCTCAAATAGGGGCTAAAAAGATCTACTATAAATTTAAATATCTACTAAATCAAAGTGAAATCACAATAAACTAACACATAATTTTTTTTTTCATTTTTGTTCACTTTTTTTAGGATAATGACGTTATGATAACATTACAATATAAGTCTACAAAACGAGATATATGGCCCAAAAAATATAATGATATCCAACAAAACCTTGTGATCATCATATCAGAAAAAAGGTTACTGATTGGACAAAGAGAATAACTAACCACAATAATAAAACAAATGTTTATAATATCTAAACATAACAATTACACAAGTTTACATTTGTATGTTGTTACGAAACGCATTTAATTTCATATTTTTACCTCAATTTATTCAAAAAAATTATTGATTTGAAACTTTATTCGTAACAAATATTATCACTGAAAGTTTAGGATCTCTTTGTCTTCGATTTGTTGTAATGGACTACAATTTAACTATAAAGAGGTGTAAAAAATCTTAAGAAGAAGTGTGTGTGGTGCCGGTGGCTCAAGACTGTGTCGAGTGTCGGCTGGAATTCATCTGAATTCTAAAGAGAAAATGGTTTTTGATAGATTATGTTAGTTTTGAAATTATTAGATATAAATTAGGATTATTAGGTAATAATAATATAGATGTATTAGAAAAATTAGAAATTGACAAAAATACCCACAAATGACAAAACTATTGAATTTTACATATTTTGATGAATTTCCAAAAAATTTCATTTTTTTATTTTTGTATATTTTTTGTCGGTGCGGTTTGGTTTTAAACCACAATTAAAATTCTCAAACCTAAACCAAATCATTTTGACTGGTTTGGTTTAATTCAAAACCATTTTGTTGATCAGGTTCACGTGGCACCAAATCGACGGTTTCTAAAATGCTATTTCGGTTCGATTTTTCGATTTTACTATTTTTGCTTATAGCCCTAACTGGCTCCCCAAATTTTCAAAATGTTCAAGGTAGTAAGCATTATGTTTTGTTGAATTGTTTAAACGCTGGGAACGAAGTTGTGATAATTGATAAGGTTTGGCAATATTTCTGCAATTCCCCTAAAAAATAAAGATGCAAAGACATATTGATCAAAGAATATCAACGAGCAGAGTCGAACCGGCTCGCGAGTCAAAACTCGAGACTCGGATCGACTCAAGTAAAATTGAGATGGACTTTTTTTGGCTCAAGCCTAGCTGAGCTTTCGTCCCAGACCTTACCGAATCGAACCGAACCAATTAGATCTTTTTATTTTTTTATTTATTTATTTTTTTATTATAATGCTACCTACTTAAATATAAATAGGCCGCACACGCTGCCTTTTAAAAGGCAGCTGCAAATCTATCGCCTTTTTTTTCTTTTTTTTATGAGCCGGCCCGCACACATTGCCTTTAAAAAGGCAACTGCAGCTCTAATGCCTCAATTTTTTTTTTTTTAAACTAGTTGGCCCGTCAAGCCACGAGCCAACTCAAGCTCAGTTCGGCACCCCAAAATGGTGCTCGGCCCAAGACTTGAGCCGGCCCGATTTTTTTTTTAATATGATTTTCACGATGATTTATGTCTAAACAAAAAAAGTAAAAAATGAAATACACTCGTTGCATTATTGAAAATATAAATAAATAAAGCTAAAATAAATAAATAAATAAATGAAGATTTGAAGGAAAGAAGAAAATCTATAGTCATTGACAGAGGAATGGTAAAAACTAGGCAATGCACCTCTTGTCTATGTTCAACTAAGCTAAAAAGTTACTTAAAAGATCATTTTTCATATTCAATGAAAGTTATTCATTTATTATACACACATATTATGAGACTCAATATTATTCCTCCTAAAAAATTTCTAATAAGCATATATACCTGAACATATGCATAATCTCTTAAGGAATTAAAAGAAAATTAGTTATACATTGGGCAAATTGCTTGTATTTTATATAAGAGACATATGTGGCAAACCCCCAAACTTCATAACAATATGAGAAACATCTCCTTACGTTTGAAAATTATACTAACATTCTTTAATTGTTGTTTTGAGTATTATATTCCCCATTTCACCACTTTTAGCCATTTTCTCTTTTAAAATGCATTTGTAAATTTTCTATTTGTAGTTGATTTTCTCAAATTAAAGCATAGAGATATAAATTGACATGTTGTATACATTGCTTGTTTGATATCATATAAATTTACTCTTCTAAATATATATATTTTAACAAAATTGTTTTTTGAAGAGATTATATCAGATATAAACATTCATTGACGAGGGAATGGTAAGAATTAAAGTGCACCTATAGCCTGTATTCAGCTAAGCTAAAAGCATATTCATAAACTCATTCTGCTATCGAGTAAAAGTCAAACATTAATTTCAATCACACATTTATGAATACAGTGTATTTAATATTATACATATTGTGGTATCCAATTCTATTTTTCCTAGAAGATTCCTAATAAGCTTAACCAAAAACGTGTATAATCTCTTGAGAAGTCATTAAAAGCATTTTTATAATTTGT